CATCCATTTAAGCTTTAAAGAGTTTGGCAAGTTCTATAATCTTGTTGATAATTAACTTGTATGCCATGGTAAGAGGTGCTCTTCAGTATGAAAGGTCACATCAACATCAAGCAGAGAAACCACTATTCTCTGTTGGCATGATATCGAAACCATTCCAGTATTTTACATCAGTTTCTTGTTGAGACACAATATACTTTTTTAAAACAAATCTACAAAACATTAAATTGCATCTTCCGGTTTCTTCCTGGCAGCAGTCAGTCACTGCTTGTTGGCATTTTGAATAATTTCACTTGGTTTGTTTCACTTCACTATCAGTCTTGATGAGCTGCAACAACTGATATTATCATTAAATTTCTCAATATTGAACCACCCAAAAAATTAAATTGAAGTAAACAACAAAGGGAATATATTACCTACATTTCTTTTCAGAAAACAAAACCATGGAAGTTCAAAGGAAAACAAGTGACAAAAGTCTGCTTGGGGTGTTTTTCCTATGTTTTATAGCAGCTTGTATGGAAAGACAATACAAATCCTAACATGGTTACTGCCTGGGATTCATATTTCTGTTAAACTTTGAAATTCACAGACCAAAGCAACATCATGTCTTATAAGTTTGATCTTCTCTCAGTAATACTGAGTTTGAGCAAAGCTACACGAGAAATAAATTTACTGTTGTAAGGATTGTCTCTGCCTGCATTAGTGTGGACACCATGAGACAAATGCATTGAGTCTGCTGATCTAATATTAGGATTCAGTCTTGTATGCAGTATGCTCTCAAATATTAGTTTAAGGGTGTTCATTCCACTTGTGTAATCAGCTTACCGCACCATTCTGCATGGACAAACATGTTTGTTATTACAGCTGTGTTTGTTTTTGTGTTACTATGAACATGATATATGTGGACATAAAGCATCACTGAATTAAGCAGTGATAATTCAATAAGGTACTGTTGACTTAATTCCTACAAACATCCACTGCAGTGGGAAAATCTCATGAGTTGCTTTTGTGGACATAATATGGAACCATTTTGTAAGAAATCTGAACGTTTGTCACTGGAAATGTGCTTCATAAAGGGACTGACAGCGTAAACTGATATCTTATCTGCCCACTGAGCAGAGCAACAATTCATTCTACCTGCTGATACAAGAATAGAGTTGAGAATTTTGACATGAAAGAAAAAAAATTAATTTTTCAATGTATCAATATAGCACAATGAAATTGTGCAGGCCCAACATGACATATTTAGCCTTTTCAAACATGGTGCTCTTTGATTCATAGACATGTCTCTGTATAATGTTCCTCATATTTTGCAGTAAACCTGGTCCTGAAAATCTTGCTGCTTCCACAGAACAAAAAAACAATGTGTTTTAATAACAAAAATAACAAGGAAAGGATGAGTGTAATAGTTGTATTGAGTCTCATTGATGATATGATACATGACTTACCCCATGATGAGTAGCAACTTCACGGTTGCTTCAGTGTAGTGATATGTTTGACAACCAATTTGTCATGTTTCAGGTCAGCAATGTCTCATCTTCCTTTTGCAGCTCTCAGTTCAGGCATTAGGTCCTTTCCATTTCTCCTAACAGTGTTTGTGAAGTCCTCATTAATATAGATAATTCATGCTTTGAGAAACTTGCTGCAGTGCAATTATCTTATTGTCCTTGAACCTCTAGCTTGACAAAGATGGGTCTCGATCTGCTGCCGCTAGATTTTCCGGTTCTATGAGCTCATTCAACCTCTACTTCTTGATGCAGTTCGAGTTTCTCAACAAAAATGTTTTCTCCTAGTGTCTCTACAACTCCATCAACCACCAAGTTGTTGTGTCTAGACGGTCCCTATTCCATTTTGTCTGTGATGGTTAACATGCTGCTACCGATTTTTAGTATGTTTGACTCCATGCTGTCACCATGATCAAAGTGTTTTTTGTTATCTGCTTTCATGTCATCCACTTCTTTTTGCATAAATTAGAGACTTGATTTCTTGTATCTCCTTGGTTAAAGTGTTGGTTAGATTTGAACAAAATCTTTAAAATGATCTTGTTGATGTTGAAGTACAGTCAAAAGCATGTTTTGGCTGCTGCAGGAACTCCATAACTGAGTGACGCATACCAATTACCTGATTTCAAATCTGATTTTGGTACTTTTGGAGACATTCTGTGAATTACACAGACTGATATATCCTCAGGTAGCCCGCCAGCAAACACGCCGTCAGCCACTGCTGTAGGAAGATGTTGGCCTTAACCCTCAGTAGTCCTGAACATCTACCTGAATATTTCAAAATAAAATGTAAACTACTTTCATCTGACGTTGGACCATGTGAGTAACAGTACAATTGTTTTTTTTTTTTTTTTCCCCCTTAAGCCAGAAAAGATTGTTCTGAAGGACTAGACTAAAGAAATATGACATTTCTAGTGTATGTGTAGATTAGTCTCCCCTTAATGCTGCTTGATGAGCTGACGGCAGCCTCAGTCCACTCTTCATGAAGCTCCAACAATCTCTTAAATGGATTTTGCTCGTCATCCCTTTAAGAAGGCAATTATTCCTATTCCATGTTTTCCTAATAGTTTTTCTTTCCACTCAACCTTTGTGGAAGCAGGATTGTCAGAGTGTACCTGCCAGCTCAAGATGTTAAAAAGATCCACCCTGATCTCTCAAACACTTATGTGCACTGAAAGTGATATATATTATTCCAATAATTAAAAAGAGAAAAATGTGATGTGTCATATATAACTTTATTTCTTATTTAATTTGGATGTCCATGGTAGAAAGTATAACGGTAAAGATAGTTATGAATTGAATGAATACAGGACATAAAATCACACATGCATTAGCCTTACAATTACACAGCTAAAAAAGGAGAACAATTGGAGGTTTAGTCATCTTCAGAAGCAAGAAATAAGAGTAACTTTGTTATATTCCTTTACATTTTTGTGCAATCTTCAACAAACATGAACAAAATTATTTTCTGAAACTTTCCTTTGATTGTACCAAATATTTAAAATGTAATGCAAAGCGGGTACTCCGGTTTCCTCCCACAGTCCAAAAACATGACTGTCAGGTTAATTGGCCTCTCCAAAATGCCCCTAGGTGTGAATGTGTGTGTACATGGTTGTTTATCTCTGTGTTGCCCTGCGACAGACTGGTGACCTGTCCAGGGTGACCCCGCCTCTCGACCGGAACGTTAGCTGGAGATAGGCACCAGCACCTCCCAACCCCACAAAGGGACAAGGGTGTAAAGAAAATGGATAGATGGATGAATGTAATTCAAAGCATTTCTAAAATTAAAGTAAAAAAAAAGTGTAATAAACAAGCTAAAAATTAACATTTTATCACATATAATTAAAGGCAAAGAATGTACATTTAAAAATGGAAATGTCCGCTATATATTTTCCTCCAATTCTTACTGTTCTAAGTAAAGATGCTTTTATTTGCAATTTTAATTTCACTAAGTTTTAAATATTCAGGCTCTAATAAACAAAATGAAAATTGTTGCATATAGACCGCCAAGAGAAAAAAAAAAATGAAAGAAGTTGCAATGAAAGCTTAAATTAGCATCCGTTATGATGATAAATCCCTCCAATGAGAACATCTGTTGAATTAAAAGCCACAATTAGAGCTCAAAGTTTTAGTTGCATCATTCAGTAAAAGTGCAATTTATAGATTATGTTCTTTACCTCAAATATGTTCCCTGTTTTAGCAGCTGTTCAGCTCAGCATGTAGTTTTTGGACCCTCTCCAGCTGTGCTGAAACATCTAAGAAAACAGTTTTAATTAGGGCTTTCTGTGAAATATTTTTTAAAATACATTCTTAAGAACTGATTTTTTACCTGGAAGTGAAAGATCATCAGTCTCGAGTGAGAGCTCAATCGATTCCCTCATGGTGTCCTCCAGCGTTTTCAGGACGTCCACCTGATTTAGAGTTAAACCTTTTATCACTTGGTTCAGTCAAAAGTTAATTTTAAGATTAATGGGATGTGATTATTGTCAAAATGCCTGATACTTGTTTTATTCACACCATAGTGGAGGAGTATTTTTAATAAGGGGTCACATTTTAGCCATATGTTTTCTATCAAGAATCTCTCCACTGATCTACAGATTGCACATGCATAAGAAAATTCATCAAGACACTTTAGAAAGACAGGAAACAGAAACAAGAGAAAGAAGCCATGTACTTTTTCACAGCTTCGTGTGGATCAGAATATGGGTACGATAACAGAGTGGAGAGTACGGTAATGTAATTTATATTTCACTGTTACCATATTAAAAGTAACAAACCATCAAGTTGTCCAGGTGGTTCATCATGACCTTTTTAGCCTCTTCAAACATGGTGTTCTTTGATCTATCTACGTGCTTCTCTATAGTTTCCCGCATGTTCTGCAGTGTGCCACGTCCTGTACATGCTGCTGCTTCTGGAAAACAATGTTTTAGGTTTTAATGAATAATACCTAAACATGCATGTAAATTACTGTAATAACATGATATATATATTCACAATAGGTATGTAATTTACCTAAATACCAGAAATTTATGATAGTTGCCTCATGTCATGCTACACTATGCAGAAGGTATATTTGCAGAGATGATGAGTTACAACAGCACATTACTGTACATGCAGCAAGAATCTATACATAGTTTTATATTTTTCAAAACTCAAAAACAGTTTGAAGAGAGTTGAGTTTTTAGAAGAGCTTTTGATTAAATGGAGATGAGTTCCCATACTCCAAAGATATCCTGCCTCTTTCATTGTACCGATACGGCAGTTCAAGCCTTTATAGCGCACCACATTAATAACCTCATAGAGATCAGTAAATGTGTGCTGAAGTTCGCTGCCAGTCAAGTCGCTGTACTCTGAGAAAACCCCGTCCCCTCATTTGAATATGAAAACATAACAAAGAAACACTGAACTAAAAAGTTAAAAAATAAGTCAATGAAAAGTAGTTTTGCAAAATAAAAATCTCACTAATTAAAACATTCTGAAATTAACAGTATTTATTTACATTTGAATGAAAAGACTATGAGCCTGATCACTAGACATAAGTGAGACAGTGACACTACTGCAAAAACTGAAACTACTGATGCAATGAGTTTTGAACCTTTCATCCCAATACCTGCACTTCACAAACAGTAGGTGTATTCTAGGCGTTGCATATATTTTTTGCAACTGGGAACAGGAACTTCAGTGAATTTTATTTGTAACCAGTGTTATAGTTAGATAACGTAAAGACAAAGGTCTTACGGAAAGGTTTTTCTGAATTCCTTGTCAATGCTGTCAATCAGAGGGAAAGCCAATGTCACGTTTATGTTTATTTCTCTTCCTTTTTTAGGTACCCAGACTCCTTCACTTTCTACAGCTTTTTTCAGTTGCTTACAAAATCCCCGACCAGTCTTTTCCTGGGGGAATGACATGAAAAAGAAATATCAAATCCAATAACAAAAGCAATCAAAATATAATACATTCACATACATGTACTTTCTAATTACTATCGGCATAAATACCTGTGGATGCAAGGTGGACATCAAGTTGACTTCACATGAGTTTTTGGATTCCTCAACTCCCTTTTGAAGGAGTGCATCAAAAGCTTTGTAAATCTTTTTCATTTCATTAATTGACTCAGTTTGAAGGGAGGTTAGATTTTCCTCAAGGGCTTCACACACTTCCTTGATTCTGTCATCCTAGAAAAACAATGCCAGTAGTTGCTTAGTTTATTTTCAGACATATCCAAACCTATTTTAACTTAGTACTGCCGAAAAATGATCCATGACATGGACATCTGAGAATGTGTTTTAAAAGTTGGTTTAGTTCAAAAAGAAAATTTTAAGATGGAATAAATAATGCCAGGCCCAAATAAATGAGTAAAAATCTATTATCCTATGGTTGTTGGTCAGATCGTGATCAGATTAATTTTCCACAATAAGTTGTAATATAATCATGCTGCTTTTATTTTTATACCAGCAATTAATTTTAAAGCTGGATTCAATAGCTATGATATCCTTCTAATGTTGTGCACAGTATACACATAGCTAAGCAAATTAGAAAAAAAATTGCATTTCCTGCAAAAATGCAGTGTAAATGCTGTAAGATAACCATTTTGAAATACTCATTGGTTTTCTAACCCATCGCCTTAGTGGTGCTGTACCTCGTCAACACCACCTTGGTGTTGACATCTTTTGGTTGCCCTGCTCAGAGGTGTATTTAAGGAGTGGAGTATCAGACTTTTTCCATACGCTTGTGATGCCACATCTGCATAAATTGAACTTATTTTAATCTGCTTAGTCACATACATTTTTTATTTAACCCTTTCATGCATGAATTATGATCCTGTAAGTCAGGATTTTTTTTCCCTTATGTCTGAGTTTTTAGGAGCATAAAACAAGGTAGGGCAGAAATGTATATACATTTATAGAATATCCAACTCATCCTAGTCTAATGTTCACTGTCTTATCCCTATTCAGTCACACTCATTGAACTGCTTGGTCTCATTTTAGTCTTATTATGGCTCCTCTAAAACTGTATTATGGAAACTTTAAATTTTACAAGACATTATGACACTTCAGCCATTCTGTTTTCTGTAACATAGCAGTACAGTCTGTTTCAGGCTTATAAAAAGCAAGACTATCTTGTATGGAAATGCAGAAAGCACCCAGGCTGCAAACACATTGGATGCAGATGTATTTTTATCTGTGGGCTGGATCATTGCATGTTATTTCTGGTTGCAGAGATGGAGGGCCAGTGTTCTCTAGACCTTAGCTTGATCTCATGGGGTGTCCAAAATCGGCCGTTGAGGAACAGCATCCTGCATGTGTTCTCTTTCTGGTTCAACACACCTGGATCAAATGATGGCTCACAACAAGACCTCAGGAGATCTGCTGAAGAGGAAGTTACTACCAACAGACAGAACCAGAACATGCAGGATGCTGGACATCAAGGACCAACTTTGGACACCGCTGCCTTAGATACTAGTCTGTTTCAATGGGGATGCCACTGTCTGGATGGAACCCTTACTAGCACAAAAGCTACAGATGTCTAGAAATGTAAAAGATTCAACTTATTCAAGAAGTAAAAAAAGAACACTTAGTATTATGTCAAGGTGAAGACTTGGCTCTGATAAATACATTCTTGACCTCAGGTAGCCAAGATATGACATGATTCCATATTTATTACTGGAAATGTCTTCAATCTCAGTTCTGTTAAGGCCAGATTTATTTTCTTTTATTAGAATGCATACAGGTTTGTTTTCTGTTAAATGCTGCAAATAACTGAATTCAGTTATTTCATGTCTCAAAATCTTGATTTACCTCAGTGATCACAGATTTATCTTCATCTCTGCCGTCACAACTGCCATCATTGGACAGTAAATAAAAACTTTATTTCATGGCAATACACTGAAAGTTAACTAAAATGTCTCACTTTTTTGCAGTCAAAATACTGGCTGGAAATGGTGTATACTGTAGATTTATAGTCAGTATTGATATTAATACCTTCAAAATATTGCCACTGATGCATGACATCCACTTTAGTGGACAGGTGATCAGTTGTAATTTTCTCCAAATATATAGTTATTTGGAAAATTCACTGAACAAAAATATAAACGCCCCATGTCAAGTACAAGAGTTTTCTGATCATTTGATCATTTACGCAACATATAGAGAAACTCAAACTATATTTCAGTAATTACTGGTCTTCATATCAGCATTGATAACATTGTAGCGGATCGACAGTCCTTTGAACATGATGTGGGTCAGCTTGAGGAACTTGCAGAGTGTGCAAGTTGGCTTCTTGTAGGCGATTAAGGACAGTCTGAGGTGTGATGCATCTGTTGTGTAGACCAGTAGTCTCATCAGCTGTGTGTGTCACTGGCCTTGGCCAATCCCACAGATGGATGAGCCTGATGTGGCGATCTTGTGCTGGAATGGTCATACATGACTGACGAGGTTGATTTGCAGTAATGTGATAAATGTTTCACACAGATTGACACAATTTACCTGTGTCCTCTGGGCATTGAGTTGTGCAGCTACTGCTCTGATGGACATCCCTGCATCCAGCATGCCAATGACACGCTCCCACATAACTTGCAACATCTGAGGGATTATGACTTCTGACAAAATTTGGCATTTTGGGGTGGCCTTTTATTGTCCCCAGTCCAAGGATTGTAAAGCTGTTGCTCATTTTTGTCTGATCACCCACTGGACATGCCCCACCCATGCACTGAGTAAAAAAATAACTCACTGAGTAATGCTCACTGACAGCAAACTGGATTAAAAAATATACATAAATCAAGAGAAATGTTACTTTTGTACAATAAAATATCAGCAAATGCTCATTTACAGTTAATTCAACATAGCAAAAAATATTTGACATTTATATTTTTGCTCAGTGTACATTAGTATTAGTCTTTAGGGGTTTCTTGATGTCAAAATATTTTTTTTTACCTGCAAGAGTTCTCCACAGTAGGAGGAGGGACTGGATATTCCTGAGTTTGATACTTTTCCATCTGCTCGCTATGTTGGATTTAACAAATGATTTCTTGCACTTGCAATTAATGGACAGTAGTTGGCAATGTATTGCTTGATACACTAATGTCCACTTTAAAAGTCTGTGTGCATTTATAACAAACATTAACAAGAAACACAAAATCCAAGCATAGCCGTCCACTGCAGTGACCACTATGCATGAAAGGGTTAAAGGAAATCATTTGCTAGAATCTTTGTTCCGTTTATGAATATATTCATTGAATGCCATTTCGAAGCCTAATTAGCAGATCAATCTACATGACACATTTAGTTTTCCTTACAAATTAAGTGTTATTGTAATTTCAGTGGTCATATTTCAAGTAGACCTCAGTGTTGTAGATACAACAAATGTTAAGCTAACTGACTTATCTTTAAATTTCTCTGAATTCTGTTATTAATAAAATCTGTTTGTGCAGAATTACAATTTTCTTGCATCAGCTCAAACAGCTGAATACAGTAAAAACATTTAACTTGTTATTCTTACCTCTTTTCTTTTGCTGGCCCCATGAATCAAAGAGAGGATCCCATGAGCTCCAGAAACATAGTTTAATGTCTCTGAGTGACAGTCATTCAGATCTTGCAAAACTTTCTGAAGCTTGGGTATTTCTGTAGAAACAAAATCATATTTATATCATGACTTTACATTAAGATTGCTGTAATTCTGTAGTTTTCAAACATAATGTGAAAGCTGGCAATGGTCATTGATATACTTCATTTATGCACACAAGAAAACAAATTCCAAGTTGAAAAAGTCTATTTGATGCCAAAAGTTCAAAGGTTTCACTCCAGCACCAAAATGACTCCTTCACACCTAAAAACTTGTCAGTGAATTAAGATTCTTTCATTAGTTTATAACTTGTTAAATTTGTCATACCTTGTGCGCAACCTCTATTAATGAGAATGGTGCTACATGTGTTTCAGCGCATGCATTTGGATTTAATTGGTATATCGACAGCAGATTTTCAAGAGGATGGAACATACCAGAGTGTTCTTTCAGTTCTCCTACCAGAAACTCCTTAGAGCTCACTGTGAACACTTCAAAATTATCTTCACTGAAGTGTTTCTGTAGAAAATTGATTGATTATTAAGTTTTGTTCTAGATATGGACAATGTTTTATTTTCTATAAACTTGGCTCACCTTCACATTGTGTAGCTTTTTGAATTCCTCTTTGACTGCTTCCTTGGTCTTCATGTTTCTGTCAAGTATGAGGTTCAGACGGTCCTCTGCTGTGCTGAAAGATAAAATATTATTGTATGGAAATGGACATGTACATGGACATTTAAGTTTGGGAACTTCAATACAGAGACACATGGGACAAACAACTATGTGTGCACACTAACACTGTAAGAGCAGTTTGGAGAAACTAATTTCAGCTAACAGTCATGTTTTGGGGTGGTGGGAGGATGCCAGAGTTCCCAGAGAGAACCCACACACACACAGGCAAACTCCATACAAAAAGTACCCCAGGTCAAACTCTGGACCTTCTTGCTACAAGGCAAAAGCGCAAATATGAAACTTTATTGTGGTCAATTTTAGCAACTTTCTTTCTTCACTTACTGTTGTTGAAAATCTTCAAAAACGTCAGACTTGGTGCAGATAAAGTGAATGTTCTGGCACTCGCCACCGTTTCCCATGAGACTAGCAGTACTTTTCAGAATCTGCCAGCTTTCTATTTCCGATGCTGATCGGGTGATGAAAGCCACAATCCAAACGGTGGAACATTTTCCAACAATCTGAAATTTCACATATTGTTTAATTGCAAGTAGTTTTTAAGTAAAGTGCTAACATGTTACAAGTTTCACTCATCACAATTTTCTACAAAAATTTACCTCCTTCCACATTTGATCTCTGCTCTTGTTACGGTCTCCATTTCCAGGAAGGTCCACCAGAGTAACATGCTGAAGAAGAGGAATGTTTGGCACTTTGACAGTCACACACTTCACCAGAGGCCAATACAACCTCTTAAGCTTTTTGCCTTCTCCTTGGTTTGGATCATTTTTTGTGTACTTGGCAATTCCTTCAGAGAGCATTTCAGCCTGAAACAAAAAAACATGATGGTTATGATTTCTTTGCAAAAGAAAACAAACTGAACAAACCATATTTGTTCAGTTTGGTTTCTTGTGTGTAACACACTGCATACTCAAATAAGGATAAATAATTTGACTGAGAATCACCAAATGTCTTGTGGGAATTTGGTTGTGCAATCAACATGTGTTTAGTGGATCTGGAGAAGGATAACAATCCCTGGAGAATTTTGTGGAGGATCTTATGTGGGTAGGTGTAAAATTTTATGTGCTCAAAGCAAGAACCCTGCTTGCCACCTTGGCATGGTGTCAAAAATGTCCCCCAATGTATGTTGGACTACACCAGGACTGCCACTTGTCTTCATTAGAGATTTTCTTGGACAAGATCTGAAGGCATAATCATAAAGTGGTTATTAAGGTTCCCAGAACCTTAATTTATCTGTTTTGTTTGTTGAAGATTTTGTGGTTGTGTTGGCAGCTTCAGCTTTGTCTCCCTTAATGTAATGGAGAAAGAAGCCAAAAAGCAAAGCTCTTGCTTTATGTATGTTCCGACTATCTCATGGTAACTTGCAGTGTCGTCACTCTGTCCATATGCATGATGCACTGTGCATAGGACTCCAAGTGCCTGGGGGCTCCATAAGTTTAATTTGTGAAAAATTATCATAGAAATAAAAAATAATATATTAGGCTATATGGGAAATAAAAAGAGACTATTATTTTTATTTAATATATTATATTTGATAGTACTAAGATCTATTATATATTCATATGAAACACAGCGTTACAAGCAGAATATATCTCCCTTACTGAGTGAAAGGTCAAGGTTTTTGTTTTGGATTGAAGAAACTCTGGGATCTCTCTGAAGTTTTTGGGATCCATAAATTCATCTGGTTTTGTTTGTTTCCTGTCCTTCCCATAAAGTGCTGACAACTTGTTTTCATAATCATCATCTTCATTATCATCACTATCATCTTGACAACCATCTTCATCATCGTTTTCTTGATCCATATGATCACAAAGATATTGACACATTGACCACACCTCATCTTGCCATTCCTACAAAAGCAGAAACAATATTTGTTCAGTTCAGTTTGGCTTTTGTTTAACCAAAGATGTTTGAGTATGCAATGTTTGAGTATGCAAATGTGTCGTCCAAAACGGTGGGATCTACAAACCCAAAAACAAGCAGGAAATTAATTTAAACATGAAGCTTACGTCACCCTTTGCTAATAGCATTGATGAGGAATTCAGAAAGACCTTCCCGTAAGAACTTATGTACATTGAGATGCCACCAGAAAAGTAGTTCCTTCAAATGTCTAGATTATTTAGTTCAATAGACTTAAATTATTACACACACTGCATACTCAAATAAGGATAAATCCTTTTTTTTATAGTCCTGTTTACCTCTTTAGTGATAAACTCAATCTCTGCCTCATATTTGTCTTCCATGTTTGCTTCGACTTTAATCATGACTGAGGTACAAGCGTTGAGATCTCCAATGGGCAGAAGGTTTGCTTGACCAATAACAGCATTAATCAAAGAACTCTTTCCAGCTCCAGTTTTACCAAAGACACCAACCATCTCCCTCTTGTCTATGCTCAGTTTAGTGATTTCATTCCTGTTGAGAGCAAAAATAAATTGTAGATGCCAGTATGATATAGAACAATAATAAATCTAAAGATGACATATTAGTAAAAGTTAATACATTATGTATGTGACATTAAATAAATTCTGAATACATGTTAATATACACTGCTCAAAAAAATAAAGGGAACATTCAAATAACACATCCTAGATCTGAATGAATGAAATATTCTCATTGAATACTTTTTTCTGTTCAAAGTTGAATGTGCTGACAACAAAATCACACAAAAATCATCAATGGAAATCAAATTTATTAACCAATGGAGGCCTGGATTTGGAGCCACACACAAAATTAAAGTGAAANAGTATTATGTCAAGGTGAAGACTTGGCTCTGATAAATACATTCTTGACCTCAGGTAGCCAAGATATGACATGATTCCATATTTATTACTGGAAATGTCTTCAATCTCAGTTCTGTTAAGGCCAGATTTATTTTCTTTTATTAGAATGCATACAGGTTTGTTTTCTGTTAAATGCTGCAAATAACTGAATTCAGTTATTTCATGTCTCAAAATCTTGATTTACCTCAGTGATCACAGATTTATCTTCATCTCTGCCGTCACAACTGCCATCATTGGACAGTAAATAAAAACTTTATTTCATGGCAATACACTGAAAGTTAACTAAAATGTCTCACTTTTTTGCAGTCAAAATACTGGCTGGAAATGGTGTATACTGTAGATTTATAGTCAGTATTGATATTAATACCTTCAAAATATTGCCACTGATGCATGACATCCACTTTAGTGGACAGGTGATCAGTTGTAATTTTCTCCAAATATATAGTTATTTGGAAAATTCACTGAACAAAAATATAAACGCCCCATGTCAAGTACAAGAGTTTTCTGATCATTTGATCATTTACGCAACATATAGAGAAACTCAAACTATATTTCAGTAATTACTGGTCTTCATATCAGCATTGATAACATTGTAGCGGATCGACAGTCCTTTGAACATGATGTGGGTCAGCTTGAGGAACTTGCAGAGTGTGCAAGTTGGCTTCTTGTAGGCGATTAAGGACAGTCTGAGGTGTGATGCATCTGTTGTGTAGACCAGTAGTCTCATCAGCTGTGTGTGTCACTGGCCTTGGCCAATCCCACAGATGGATGAGCCTGATGTGGCGATCTTGTGCTGGAATGGTCATACATGACTGACGAGGTTGATTTGCAGTAATGTGATAAATGTTTCACACAGATTGACACAATTTACCTGTGTCCTCTGGGCATTGAGTTGTGCAGCTACTGCTCTGATGGACATCCCTGCATCCAGCATGCCAATGACACGCTCCCACATAACTTGCAACATCTGAGGGATTATGACTTCTGACAAAATTTGGCATTTTGGGGTGGCCTTTTATTGTCCCCAGTCCAAGGATTGTAAAGCTGTTGCTCATTTTTGTCTGATCACCCACTGGACATGCCCCACCCATGCACTGAGTAAAAAAATAACTCACTGAGTAATGCTCACTGACAGCAAACTGGATTAAAAAATATACATAAATCAAGAGAAATGTTACTTTTGTACAATAAAATATCAGCAAATGCTCATTTACAGTTAATTCAACATAGCAAAAAATATTTGACATTTATATTTTTGCTCAGTGTACATTAGTATTAGTCTTTAGGGGTTTCTTGATGTCAAAATATTTTTTTTTACCTGCAAGAGTTCTCCACAGTAGGAGGAGGGACTGGATATTCCTGAGTTTGATACTTTTCCATCTGCTCGCTATGTTGGATTTAACAAATGATTTCTTGCACTTGCAATTAATGGACAGTAGTTGGCAATGTATTGCTTGATACACTAATGTCCACTTTAAAAGTCTGTGTGCATTTATAACAAACATTAACAAGAAACACAAAATCCAAGCATAGCCGTCCACTGCAGTGACCACTATGCATGAAAGGGTTAAAGGAAATCATTTGCTAGAATCTTTGTTCCGTTTATGAATATATTCATTGAATGCCATTTCGAAGCCTAATTAGCAGATCAATCTACATGACACATTTAGTTTTCCTTACAAATTAAGTGTTATTGTAATTTCAGTGGTCATATTTCAAGTAGACCTCAGTGTTGTAGATACAACAAATGTTAAGCTAACTGACTTATCTTTAAATTTCTCTGAATTCTGTTATTAATAAAATCTGTTTGTGCAGAATTACAATTTTCTTGCATCAGCTCAAACAGCTGAATACAGTAAAAACATTTAACTTGTTATTCTTACCTCTTTTCTTTTGCTGGCCCCATGAATCAAAGAGAGGATCCCATGAGCTCCAGACACAGTTTAATATCTCTGAGTGACAGTCATTGAGATTTTGCAAAACTTCCTGAAGCTTGGGTATTTCTGTGAAAACAAATCATGTCTAGTTTCATGTAATCACACAGTTTGTGGTTCTGCAAAGTTGCTATGTGATAAATGTTTCACACAGATTGACAACTTACCAGTTTCCTCTAGAGTTAGAACTTCCTTCATAAAAAATTCTGTGGCGCTCACAGTGAACACTTGAAAACACTCATCACTGAAGTGTTCCTAGGAAAAATTAATAGTATCTTGTTAATGTAGCAATCAAGTCTATTTTCTAATTGTAGATAAACATTGTGCTATGCATTTACTAGTATTCCAATCTCACCTTAATCTTGGTCCAGTTAATTTCTTCCCTCACATATTCTTTGACATTTGAGTTTGTTTCGAGTATCAATGTCCGGGCTTCATCTTCGGTGCTAAAAGACAAGAAAAGATACACTGGAGATTAATGACCAACAAGTCTGCATATTATTAAATGAATGCCTTATCAAGTCTTGAGGACCCCAAAGCACTTCACAACGACATTCAGACTTTCACACATTCACACAAAGCTACTGGATTGTATCCACAGTCTAAGGGTGGGCTGCCATGCACCCAGGCCACCAGGCCTTCTGAAAACCACCAGGGAAGTGTCTTGCCCAATGACACAAAGAAAAAGAGGGCCAGAGCAGAAATTGAACTGGCAACCCTTTGATTGGAGGATGAACTCTGACCACCCAAATAGAACATGAAAGCAGCGTAGTGGACCTTTATGGCTTTTGGCTCTTTAAGTTTTATTTGGCCTAGTAGTGAACTCACAGCTTCTTTCCACCATCATCAGACTTCGTGCCGATAATGTGAATACGTTGACACTCGCCACCGTTTCCAATCAAACTTTCAATCTCATCCAAGATGTCCCATAATTCTTTTTCTGTTACTATTCGGTTGATTTCACCGACAACCCAGACGGTGGAACAGTCTGCAACAATCTGAAAAAAGTATTGTCAGCGCTTTGAAAAAAATATAGCAAGTTTAAGTAAAAAATCTAAAGGCAAGGATAATTTACCCCTTTCCACATTGTATCTCTGCTTTTATTCCGGTCTCCATTTCCAGGAAGGTCCACAAGTGTGACATGTTGGAGAAAAGGATTGTCTGGTACCCTGATAGTCACACATTTCACAAGTGGCCAGTACCACTGCTTTATTTCTTCACAATCTTTCTCTTTTGTGGGAACCCTTGTGTATTTGACCATATCTGCTGATAGATCATCTGCCTGCAAAACATTAGTCATAATAATCATATTAAATGTGTTATTACAACAGCTGGAGGAACTGGAATTTTAAAGCTGTGTTGCTCAGTAGGGTTTTATTGTAAGCTGAAATTAGGAGGGTCACATTGAGCTCCATTCCCATTACTTTTACAATTTACAGACTTATAGGAAATCCTACCAATGGCTGGAGAAAGCTGGACTCAAGGACAGCACAGAGGCCCTCATCCTGGCCGCACAGGAACAGGCCCTAAACACCAGAGCAATAGAGGCTCAGATCTACCACACCAGACAAGACCCAAGGTGTAGGTTGTGCAAGGAGGCCTCTGAGACAGTCCAGCACATAACAGCAGGGTGCAAGATGCTGGCAGGGAAAGCGTACATGGAACGACATAACCAAGTGGCGGGCATAGTGTACAGGAACATCTGTGCAGAATATGGACTGGAAGCCCCGAGGTCAAAATGGGGGACACCCCCAAAGGTGGTGGAGAATGACCGAGCTAAGATCCTGTGGTATGATGGTAATGGCGAACCAACCGGACATTGTGGTGGTGGATAAAGAACTGAGGAAAGCCGTTGTGGTGGATGTAGCAATACCAAGTGACCACAACATCAGGAAAAAGGAGCATGAGAAACTGGAGAAATATACCTGGAAGGTGAAGACCACAGTGGTGCCTGTGGTCATCGGGGCCCT